CCAATCAGTTATAGGCAGAAGACAGACTTACAAGCTTTCTATGGTGACATTTCTGGCTATTCCTTTCTCTCCCCCTCAAATGTCTATTTTATAATGGTATGCCAGGGAAACCAAGATTCAAAAGACAGCCAAGTATCTTAACAATATTACCCCCATTTTCCCCATTCCAACCATGTCTCAAACTCTGTATCCCAGAGCCCTGTTGTTCCAAGGTTGTGCATACATCATTATTTACTTTTGTCCCACTTAGCCCATGCAAACCTGCCTAATTGTTTTCCGTCTGCTTTGTTCTTCCATTCCCCTCCTCCTTTTTGTGTATTGCCCCCCTCCCTAGAGAATGTGCCCTTTGGAGGTGTAAATTATTATATATGCCTGAGGGTTTTTTTTTTTTTTTACGCTAATGTGGATAGAGAGAAATACTGTTAACTGATGGTACATGGAGGGGATAATAATCATTGTAATGAAACAAGGTGTATGATTTGTTGAATGTAAAACTGATGCTCTGCCCTGTAAACTTTCACTCAATCCATAATACAAATCTTTTAAAAAAAAAGAAAGAAAGAAGAGGAGAAGATCAAAATGGATGTCAGAAGAGATCCTTAAACTTGCTCTCCAGCATAGAGATGCTAAAGCAAATGGAAGAAATGAGGAGGTCCAAGAGCTGGACAGAATATTTCAAAGCTCACCTCAAGAAGACAAAGTCAAATATTATAACTAAATGTTAAGACCTGGAGTAAGAAACCCAAAAGGGAAGAATACATTAGGCAATTCTCAAGCTCATGGAAATGAATAAATTTAAATTTCAACTTGCGATATTAAAGGATTCTATGGGCAAAATACTGAATGATGCAGAAAGCATCAAAAGAAGATGGAAGGAAGATGGAAGTCACTGTGGTAAAAAATGGTTGATGCTCAACCATTAACAAATACATGTAACAAGAACTTTGTCATTTTAACCATTTTGTACAGTTCAGTGATGTTATGACTTTCACCATGTTGGGTCACTGTTAGTAATATCTACTTCCGGAAGTTTGACATCACTCTAAATAGAAACTATTTGTTTATAACTACCCCTCCCCTTCCAACCTGAGGGGCTCCTTTTGGACATATTGTCAGGAGGGACCAGTTGCTGGAGAAGGATATCATGTTTGGTAAGATGGAGGGTCAGAGAAAAAGAGGAAGACCCCCAATGAGATGGATTGGCCAAGTGGCAGCATCGATGGACTCAAGTGTCGCCAAAAGTAGTGAGGTTGGCCCAGAATTGGACATTGTTTCATTCTGCTGTGCATAAGGTTGCCATGAGTTGGTGCCGACTCAATGGCACCTAACAACAACAACAACAACCCCTCCCCTAAACTGTCATCCGGGTGCCTGGTAGACATTTGCCAGTGGCAGCCCAGAATGCAAGCCAGCACAGAGTTACCCTCTTGGAGTTACCACCGTGTCTGACGCACAAGGAGGTGGAGGAAGAGACCAGCTCTGCCCTCAGCAACCAAGCTTCCACCTGCGCCCCTCTCTCAGGTCCCTCTGACCTGCCAGATCACACCTACCGTAGAAGGCACCAGCCCCACATTTCTCTCTCTCACCTTTCTCTGTTTTGTCTAAATGGAGCTCTGGTGATACAGTGGGCTAAGCATTGGGCTGATATGGCAAGGACAGCAGTTTGAATCTACCAGCCACTGTGCAAGAGAAAGGTGTGGCAGTCTGCCCCCTCAGAAACCCTATGGTGGTGTTGGTGATGTGCTGGGACTCAGAGCCATCCTGCATTGGGTTTCTGAGGTTGTCGATCTTTACGGGGGTAGAAAGCTTCATCTTTCTCCAGCGAAACAGCTGCTAGTTTTCAATTGCTGACCTTGAGGTTAGCAGCTGGACTACACTACCAGAGCTCTTTAGGAAAGTTCTACGTTGTCCTATCGGATTACTGTGATTCGGAGTAACTCACTGACAGTGGGTTTGTTTGTTTGTTTGGTTGGTTGGTTTGTCTAAGGAAGCCCAGGGCAGCCAGGACAGAAGGCAGCGAGTCTGTGCCTGATTGGTTGGTGCTGTAAGTGCCCAGCAACAGGCCAGCTGGGACACGTGTGGATGACTTGTGGGCACCTGCCAACAAAACTGCTGCCCCTCTGGCCTCTGCCGGACAACAAGTTCATTTCTCCTTAATCTCACATGGGTTTATGAATTGTTTGCATTTTTAATAAGGCCAGAGCCTCAAACCTGTGGCTGCAGGCCCTTTTGCTGTCAGCCCTCTGGTGTGTGTGTGGGGGAGGTGAGAGGTGATGGAGGATGCTTGGCCCAGCAGGAAGCACGTGGGTACCAGTAAGTGACACCCCAGTCCACAAACCAGGCTGGGCCCACGTCCAGGCCTCGCCACTGGGGAAGGGCAGGGTGAATGTGCTGTGCTGGCAGCTGCAGGGAAATGTGGCACCCAGCTCTGTCCAGAGAGAAGAGACTGAGGCCCCAGGAGGGGACACACTGGTCAGAAGGTGCCAAACTCGACCCCAGACGTAGCTCACCTGCCTGTGAGCTCCTCTAGGTCACTGACATGGGAGGACGGGTGATGTTCACATCTCCTGAGAAGATACAGGAATGGGCCCTACTTTGGGGCCCTGAGTATGACAACATCAAGGAATTGGACAAGACCTTGGCCAGTTCCCAGGGGAAGCAGCCCTTAATGGTCTCCCTAGCACTCTTGAGGGCTGGGTACCAGGAACTGGACCCGGAAGCCTGCCAACTTTTCACCATCACCAATCACCTCCTCTTATAAGCATCCCTCAGTGTTCCCAGAAGTGAACATGTCTGCTGGGATGACACAGTATGGTAGAACCAGACGAGGGGTCCAGGACAAGATGGCTGGTGCAGGGGCAGAAGGTACTCTGCGTCACAGGAGTGCTGGCAGACTTGGGGGGATGCCCTGCTTCTAACTGGGGAAGAGTAGGCTGGGGGCAGACTTGGGGTGTCTCCATCATTCCCTCAGGGTGCTCAGGGTCTCCGAGAAGGATCTGGAAGCATGTGGGGTGTGTGTGTGAGAAGGAGGTGACAGTGTCCTGCGGATGCTGTTTTGGAGCTGTGTGTTGGGGGAAGAGAGGCAGGAGCCAGAGGGGAGGGGAGCAGCAGGGTCAGGAGACGCCAGTAACAAGGAGAGTGGGGGTACAGTGTGTGATTTAGGGTGCTGGGAGGAAGAAGCCCCAAACAGCAGTGACAGCTGTTCTAAGGGAGGGTGGGTCATGGAAGAAGAATATGACCAGGGCTCGAGCCACCAGAGGACATGGGAACAAATGCGGAAGGCTCCCTGTGTGGGTGCTGGGACCAGGTGTGAGGTGGAGGAGGGGGTCTCTCTCCACGCCCCAGGCCAGCACCTGCCTCTCTGAAAAGACCAAACCTACCAGCCTCTAGAAGGACCTGGAACTGGTGGGATGTGCAGGTGGGACCTTGGTCCTGACTGGGACACTCAAGGGAGACACTGAACCCTGATGCACTGGACTGCTACCTGCAAGATTGGCAGTACAAGTCCATCAGCCGCTCTAGAAATCTCTGTACAGGGTTGCTTGAGAGTCAGAACTGAAACGTAGGCATGGAAAGACAACAGGGCGGCACTATGGAGCCACCTCATCCACACTTGGTGCTCATAAAAAGGTTGGTGGTTCAAACCCATCAGTTGCTCCATGGAAGAAAGATTGGGTAATCTGCTCCCATAAAGATGATAGCCTAGGAAACCCTAAGGGGCAGTTCTACCCTGTCATATAGGGTCACTCCACTTGTTGTTATTGTTGTTGTTAAGTGCCATCAAGTTGGTTCTGACCCATAGTGACCCTATATAGGGTTTCTAAGGAGCTTCTGGTGAGCTTGAACTGCCGACCTGCAGTTCAAACTGACTTTGCAGTCCAGCGCATTAACCCACAGCACTTGAGTCAGAATTTAATGGCACACATGTGACAACAGCAGGTTGGCACTGTCCCAGCACTACCACACAGGGCTTCCAGAGCTGGGGTAAGGCTGGGACTGGAAGGTTCTGTCCTTGAATGGGGTACATGGGGCCTCAGGTCCTGCCCAGCCCGGAGCTGGGCTCCTCCCTGCAAGTGACATTCCTCTAGAATTGTTGACCAGAAGCAGACTGAGAGCCCCGAGACAGCAGACTCCAGAGCTGGGAGGCCCTGCCAGCCGTTCCTGGGTCCTAGATAAGGGAGGCCTCAGGGCAGAGGACACGATTTCTGAGGGGACCGATCTATATGGCTTCTCCTAGTTTCCTAAGATACCAGGGGATGCAGGGTGGAGGTGTTCAGTGGGGTGGATCTTCTTCTTGTAACTGAGCACGGGATAACATGGGGACATGTCCCGAGTCAGTGCCAGGGTTACTGTTCATACGTGTCTGGTCTGCCACATTCTGGGTACCGGGGATGCTTCCTAGGACCCATAGGGGTCATGGTCCTGGGATTCTGCTGTCACCACACTGTGACTTAGAACAAGATGGCAGCATCTAAGCAACAAGGCACCTAGACACATGACCTGCTCCACTCCCACGGCCCCCTCCACTCTTCCTTTACTGGGAATGGATTTGGGGGTCATGCTAGGCCACCCAGCAGTCCCCGGGCTCTGTGCCACCTACCTGTAGGACCAGGGTCACAGCATCCAGGAACTGTTCTGGGCTGTCCTTCTCAGGCTTAAATTTGCTGAGCTGCTCAATCACTGTTTCAATGCATTTTCTGTAGTACGCCATCTTCAGGTCAGGTGTGCCCACCCTACAAAATCACAAGGTTTCAAGGTCTCGGCCTCCACTGTGGAGGGCACCTCCCATGCTGTCCCTGCTGAGTGGCAAGGACCACTGGGGGTAGAGACACAGATCCTGCAGGGTATGGAGAATGGGCCAGAGGGGCTCTCAGCACGAGTGGTCCTAACCTACTTCCTGGACTGTCTTCCATAGGTCCGTGTTGCTCCAGGGAGCAGCTGCCCTGATAGGCCCAGGTCCCCCATTGTCTGCTTAGAGCCTTCCCACTGCTCCCAGCTCCCAGAGCCCCCCGCTGTGCTGTGGGTGGGAATGACTCACCTGCGGAGGGGCTGGCCCTGAGAGTGGGGACACTTGGCAGGCAGGCCTCTGTGCTCCTCACCTCAGCCCAGCTCTTAGGGACAGGGAAGGTTCACTCAGCCAGCCTGGCTCCAGGGAGCGTATCAAAATGATGTGGCCATAAGTAGCATAAGGGCTTAATAGGTTCACCACCTGCATTTGAAAGATGAGTCCCAGGATGAGAGAAGAAACAGAGCTGGGAAGTGACCAAGCCCCTTACAGGAAGGGAGCATTCTAGAAACGCACCTGTCTGGAAGACCTTAGATAAACTGCTTGTAGATGGCCCAACTCTATAGATAACAGATGGCATCCACACTGCCCAGGTTGGGGTGGACTTTGTTAGGAAAGGGTCTCCTCCTGGGTGGTGTGTGAGCTGGGCTGCTCAGGGCTACTGCTGAGACCACTTCCTTGCCTCCCCTGTGACACACACTGATGCGGAGGCTACTCCGTGCTTGACCAGGATGGAGACCACCACACTGTTGGCTTTTCTGGGCACTGCAATGGTCCAGCTCTAGCAAAGCCAAGGAGTGCCTCCTGCCCTCACCCTATACCCCCAATGAGCTGAAGCAGCTCCAGGGAGCAGCCCCTAGGCCTGTATCTTCCAGCTGGAGACTGGCTAACCCCTTTCTGTGAAAAAGCCCAAGAGCAACCCTCCATCCCTAGTGAGGTGGCCAATCACCATCTGTGTCACTGTCCATGGATTGAGTCCCACTAGCTGACAAGTCCCTCCCCACCCCACCCCACCCCACTCGACCCAGTCACTTTAAATATCAGTGGACACTGCAGAGAAACCTCTCACATGAGACATGGAAACAGGAACCAGAGAAAGCAGGCAATGCAGAAAACAGGGAAATTCTAGAAACAAACATGCAGCACCTCAGAGAGAAAAGAGGACACCAGATCTGAGTGACAAGGAGCAGGGACACTCGGAGAAGGAGAAAGAGCTCTGGGAAGGTATACATACGGCAGCAGGACTGAAAACATAAATATGAGAGGACGAAGATGAAGGTGAGGGAATCTTCCAGAAAGTAAAAAAAGTAAGAAAGTCAGAGGGAAAAGGTAAGAAAATTAGGGAATCGTTTCAAAGGAGCCAGGTTCCTTCTAATGTATAGGAGCTCCAGAAAGGAAGAGGGGAAAGGCAGTCCAAAAATATGATTGAAGAAGTGACTGAGAATAGCGAACCATATGAGATCAAACAGGCACCATTTGCCCATAGATAAAGCTCAGAAGGCGGGAAGGGATGGGAAAGAAAGAAGGATGAATGGAAATGGGAAACAGGAAGTGGGAAGGGTGCTGCTGCATTGTGGGAATTGTAATCAAAGTCATGAACCAAAATACTTACGAAATGCTGAATGGAAAACCCATTTGTTTTGCACACTTTCACCCAAATCACAATAAAAAGTTATCAGAAAATGCCATGGAGAACACTATGCTGAGTGAAAAAAGCCCATCACTAAAGGACAAATATTGCATAAGACCACTGTTATAAAGCCGGAGGAGTCCTGGTGTGCTGGACTGCAGAGTTGGTTGGAACTGCAAGGACAGTGGTTCAAGCTCACCAGCTGCTTCTTAGAAACCCTGTGCAGGGTTGTTATGGGTCAGAGCCGACAAAATGGCAGGCATTTAACAACAACAACATTATAAAGTCAATAAAAGGCTGTTACATCAAAAGAAACCTTCTGAAAACAAAAAGAAACAGGAACTTTCTTTGATGGTTGATGGTTACCAGGGAGGGCGAGGGAAGGGACATGGCTAACTACAGGGTTGTTGTTTTGGTAAGTGCCGTCTAGTGGATTTTCACTCATAGCAACTCTGTATAGGGTTTTCTAGGAGCAGCTGGTGGGTTTGAACTGCTGACTTTGCAGTCAGCAGTCCCTATTAACTTGGGTGAGGGGGAAGGCAATATCTAAGAAGAGGAAGTCAGCAAAAAAATGCTGAAGGCAAAGAAGACCCTGGGAGGAGGACACGTGAGGAAGGCAACAGAGGTAAATGCTATTATACCCACACAGCTGCGATCACAGGAATCTATGTATTCATAGATTCATACAAGCACAGATAGACACCCAAGCTGGACAGGTGTGGAACAGAAAATGGTACTCTACCCACAAATACACTGTTGTTGGTGAGTGCTGTTTTGTCAGTTCCAACTCACAGCAATGGGTTTGTTTGTTTTAATCTTAAAGAAAGTGCATTGCTTAAACCGTTCTCCCACTGTGCTGCTGGGTGATTTGAACCGCCAACCATTGGGTTACTTGTTATTGTTGTTGTTAAGGCCATAGAGCTGGTTCTAGCTCATAGTGACCCTGTTGGGATTTCTGAGGAGCTGCTGGTGAGTTGGAACTGCCGACCTTGCAGTTCAAACTAGTGAGGTTAGTAGTTGAACACAAACCATTTATCCCCTGAGAAATGGGATAGAATTCCAAGCATATTGATTTTGTTTCTCAAAATCAATTTTAAATCCACTAATCTGGGTTTGAGTCCTGGTGTGGCACTGTAGGATAAACACTGGATGGCTAACCACAGGTCAGTGGTTCAAATCCACTAGCCACTCCTCAGAAATCCTACACAAGGTTGCTACGTGTCAGAACCGACTTGATGGCACTGAACACCAGTAACAACCATCTGGGCTTAAAGAGTACTGGTGGAGTAGATGGTTTCATGTTGGGCTGCTAACTGCAAGGTCAGCAGCTGGAATCTGCTAGCCATTCTGTGGAGAAAAATGAGGTTTTCTGCTCCCGTGGCCTAGTGGTTACCAATCGGGCTGCTAACCTCAAGGTCAGCAGTTTGAAACTACCAGCTGTTCCGTGGGAGAAAGATGAGGCTTTCTGCTCCTGTAAAGATTTGTTGTTGTTGTGAAGTGCCGTCGAGTAGATTCCGACCCACAGCCACCCTGTCTAGGGTTTCCAAGGAGCAGCTGGTGAGCTTGAATCACTGACCTTGCAGTTCAAATGACTTTGCAATCTGACGCATTAGTCCACAGTGCCACACCAGGACACCCCCGTAAAGATTTACAGCCTTGGAAACCCTGTACATGGTTGCTATGAGTCAGAACCGACTTCACGGCACATACCAACAAGGATTTACAGCTTCAGGAAACCTATACAGGGTCCCTATGAGCCAGAGTCAACTCTATGGTAGGGGGTTTGGTAGGTTTTAGACTTAAAACAGTTACTGATGAAGATCAAAGAGCACAGCCTTCGGTATGGATTACATCTCAATGTCAAGAAAACATAAATCCTCACCACTGGACCAATCAACAACATTCTTAACA